AGCAGCATAGATTTTGGATAAGTATCGAAAGTGATGTACTTCCAAAAATAATGCAATTTAAACTCTACAGCTCAGTTTCAATCCATTTTTTTATTTTACATACTGTGAAATGTGCCCTGACAATGGGCAAAATTGTCAGTATTAATACTCTGTAAGAATACAAATAATTTGGATTACTGTATTTTTGTATTACTGTATTCTCTCAAATGGATATAATTTCTTAAAGTAGTTTTAAGAGAGACTGGATTAGTAATGTTGTCATTAGCGAGACAAAGTGGGTGGGGTAATATCTTTTATTGGATCAACTTCTTTTGGTGAAAGAGACAAGCTTTCGAGCTCAAAATAAAAGATATTACCTCACTCACTTTGTCTCATCTCCTGGAACCAATATGACTACAACAACACTGCAAACAATTATAGTAGTTTCGTTTATCTTTGGGCTGGGTTGAGTTACAAAGACATAGCAAAACTGTGAGAAACATCTCTTTTTTCATAGAAAATTGCACACAATTTTCCTGTTTTTGCAGAACAGGATTTCTCATGCATGCAAATGGGCCACTTCCAAATATTGTGGATGCAGTTAGTGAGTGTCATGTTACACCTCATATTAGTCATAGAAATATGGCATAACTAATATATACTTAATGCAAGATGGCTCATGTAAGATATCATTGGAAAAGTTATGATTTACTGAATGTGATTATCCAATTTGTATGCAAGTATCATTTCTGTATCTAAAGTTAGGAATATTGACTATGAAACATATTACAACTGTATGTGTACTGGGGGGGGGACGCCCACCAGACAGTAGGCAATCATCCTGAATGACCCATTTAAAAAGGACAATAGAACTCTGAAGATACTTTTCTCCCACCTTCATGATGTGCTTCCTTGGATGCTCATTGACACTACAAGGTCAGATGATAATGTCACCTGATGAAAAATACCCCCTTGGACACTGCTGGTACTTTTCCACTGTAGGGGGATGGGGATCAAACAAAGGATTCCTGCCTTAGGTAAATCATTTTTAAGGCTGGAGAGGGGATTGATTTGGACTCTCCTCCATTGCCTACCCAAGAAGGACTGCTGAAAGAACCTGAAGGGACAAAGGAACTAACCTGAAGGGAAAGGCAAGGGTGAGTCCAGACTGAGACAGGGGTACAGTCTGTAAGAAGAAATAACTGGAACTCTAAGCTACTGAAACTCTTCAACTTACCTAAAATAACATTTAGGGTGAGATATCACTTCTTGAAACCAGTTTCTTTAAGATCTTAAGCTTAGTTTGCATGTTTTGTTTTATTTGCTCAGTAATCTGCTTTATTCTGTTTGCTATCCCTTATAATTACTTAAAAACTGCCTTTTGTAGTTAATAAATTTGTTGTGTTTATTATTAAACCCAGTTTGTGCAATTTCTAACTGGGGGGGGGGCAAAAAGGTTGTGTATATTTCTCTTCACATTTAGGGAGAGGGTAACTATTTATGAGATTGCGCTGTGCAGATCTTTCTATACAGCACAAGACAGTATTATTTTGTGTTTATTCCCCAAAGGGGGTGTGCATGTGAGTGCTGGGTGAATCCTCTCACAGAGTTGACTTCAGTCTGTGTCTGCAGCTGGGCGTGGTCCTACCCCTACCTGTGTGTGCTGGAAAAGGCTGGAGAGCTTAATTCAGCAGAACAGGGAGAGGGAATCCAGGCTGGTGGAGCAGGAGGGGCTCAGTGAAATCCCAGTACATCAGGTGGCATCCCAGAATGGGGGTCTAACTCATCAAAGTGAGGACATTTGAAATGTTGGCTCATTGTATGAACGGTCCTTCCATTAAACTGTATAACCTACACACTGAGGTGCATCCAAGCCATGCATTACCCATCTCAAATGTGGGGGACAAATGTGACTCTACACTAACTGTTGGGATAGTTGGATGTTGATCTGGTCACCATCTTTGGTTAGAGAAGCTAGTAGGCTGCTCTGATTTATGAATGGCTGTTCATCATGAGACTAAGGGGTTGTACCAGTATCCAGGGATATTAGGATATTGCCCACAGACCCCAATCAGGATTGGGTATCCATTGTTCTGGGCGGTGTACAAACACAGAAAAGAAACAATCTATGTCCTTGAGGGCATGCTCTACAGGTGCTGTTTAGTTCTAGTTGCTAACACCACAGAAATCCACAGAAAATTTGGCAATCTTTGCTGAGATTATTATGCTAAATTCATAAAACTATTTATGTTTGCAGTGTTGTTGCAGCCCTGTTGGTCCCAACTTCTCTTCTTCAGTAGCTCGAAAGCTTGCCTGTCTCATCGACAGAAGTTGGTCCAATAAAAGATATTACCTCACCCACCTTGTCTCTCCAATAAAGCTATGTCCCTTCAGCAATTCACTTTTTAATCCATCCTTCAGCTCTACTTATAAAAGTATATTTTTAAAAGACTGCATCTGAATGACTGTATAACAATGCTACATTTAACATTTAAGAAATCCAATTTTGCAACATCAAAGTATCTTGCTTTGATCTGTCCTAAGCTTTCCACTCCCAAGGCATCTAAGAGGTTAATCACTGCAAAGATTAATTAGTTAACAATTGTACAGCACTTTGAAGTGCTAAATATTATTAATATAGGTATTTGCTTAGTCCCCAATGGTGCACTGCAGGTCATATCACTCCTCAGCATCTTATGCATGGTGTTTTGGGCAGCTGTTCAAAGGTGACCTGCAATCTTTCTAGCAAAATTAAATGGTTTGGGGATCAGTCCCTGGTGATGACCCATTTGTGGGAGTTGTTTCAGAGGGTTTGTCTACACTTAAAATGATAGAGTGGCACAGCTGTGCCTCTGTAGCACTTTATTGTGGACACTCCCATAGGATTCTCCAGTTGGCATAGATAACCCACCTCCCCGAGAGGCGGCAGCTAGGACGACAGAAGAATTCTTCCTTTGTCCTAATGCTGTCTACATAAGTGTGAGTTTTAGGGGATGGAACATTTCCTTAGGTAGTGTGCAGGCACCTGCATAGCTGGGCCATGGTCCATGGCAATCCTTGCTATGTGGGCTTTGTGGCCAGTGGATCTGTGTAGTCTTTTGACCCATTGTGCATTCTGTGATGTTGTGCAGTCTATATGGTTTTATAAAAACATGATAATAAGTGAACATAATGTAACTGGGATAGCTTTAGAAAAATATGGTAAAAAGTGAATATAATGTAACTGATATGCTTCATGCAAAAGGTCTCTTGTAAAGTATCATTACAAAACTTATAATCTACTGAGTGTGATCATCCGATTTGTATAAATGTACCACTCTTGTATCTAAAACTAGAAATATAAAATATAACTGAGGGCCTATTGTAATTATGTAAAGTGTGGGCCATTAATGATGGTTTGGAATTTTGATGACTCCCATTGTCTGCAGATGGCTGTCTTTACCTGTGAGTCTTCCTGTATATGTGTGCTGGCAAGTGAGTAATGAAGTCTTGCAGTGACATATGATCATGTCACCTGATCTGGAATCCATCTTTAACCTGGTGCTTTTCCAGTGAAGGGGGGGGGGGGTGGAAACCCAGAGGGACAAAGGGTTCCCGCCTTATGCC